GGTGTGTGTGTGTGTGTGTGTGTGTGTGTGTGTGTGTGTGTGTGTGTGTGTGTGTGTGTGTGTGGAGTGAAGCGAAGCATTTCATGAGGTTCTCCTCTCAGGAAATGAATTAGTCATTCCCTGTCTCATCTGGGATGTGAGGGAGCCACATCGCCCCTATGTGGATGGCAATATTAATTTAACATGACACTGCATTGATGGTCAATTTCAGTTTCACGGAGGCTGTTTAAGTGGAGTGGTCGAGTATTAATGTGATAAGATGTGGGAACTGAGGGACGTTACAGCTCTCTCCTTTCTGCCATGTCTCATACTCAGCCAGCCATCTGGACAAATCAGCTCCCCACACGCCTCGCTCTCACCTCAACTTTAGGGTGTGTGTGAGTGAGAATGATCGTCTCTCCTTCTGTTTGTCCACGGGTGGTTGTGTCTTGTGAAATTGAATGTGTGTGTCTGTATGCACATGCTTAGGTGTGAGGTGGGGCTCTGCATCTAGATGTAGGTATGTGTAGGTGGGATGGTGGGTGCCGTGTGATGTGTTTTTGTTTTTTAAGCAGGTGTTGATGATTGTGTTTTTTTTTTTTAAATGCGTGTGAAAGTGTCTGCACATTTAGGTGTGAAATGTGTCTGTATAGGGATCGTATTTGTTTATATGCCTTTTATTTGTTCTTGTTTGTGTGCCTCTATGAATGTACGTGTGTGTAGTATTCTATGGGGACAGGCTGGCTTTGCTGCTGCCCATGAGTGGACCCCACCACCACCCCCCCCGCCCCCTGTGTTTATGGGTCTTGTTAGCACAGGCTTGCCTTTCAATCTTCGTTACCGCCTTCAAATTTGATGTGTCGTTCTTCCAGCTCACAGCAAGTGAACCGTGTATGAACGAATTAGTAATCTACACAAAGTGCTTAATCAAATCAGCGGCTGCCCCTGGAATAAATATTGCACAACGTCTTGGGATATTCACTCCGAGAGGGTGAGGGGTTTGCTCAAAGATGCATATGTGGATTAACCACGCTGCCACTAAAATTGGATTGTCGCACTGTGAGACTCTGGCCCAGCCAACCAAAATAGAAATCAATTTGTAATGTTTAAGTTACATTTTTGTGATAAAGTGAAGGCAATAGCAAGTCATTTGGCTGAAGTTAAAGTTAGTGCTGCTCGATTGTGGCAAAAATCATAATCTCGATTATTTGGGTCAATAATTGATATCACGATTATTAAAAACGATTATCCATTTACTTTGAAAACATCCATTTATTGAAAAAGAAAAAGGTGTAGTATGTTTTTAACAGTTGATTACCCTGAACTTTTAAATACCCTGAAGCGATTAAAATACTATTAATTGATTAGCCCTAGTTAGAGGTTTGTATTACTCTTTAAACCATATGATATGAGATTTTGACCAACACAAACAACATTTAAAAAAAAAAATTGATTCCGTTTAAGAAGTTCTCCTTTTCTAATCTGAGCCGGTAGCTGTTTGTGCACCAGCCCTCGCAGCTCTGCCGTTAAATGACTGATGGCAGGCGGAGGCTCTACCACTCTCTCAAACGCTACCCCGCCCCCTAGACTTATTAATGACAATAATTAGGGAGAAACCTCCCTGAGAAGCCCGCCAGAGTGATTAGCGCTTTAATGATGGAATGGGAGGTAGTGAGCGCACCCAGAATTGATTTACGTATTCGCCCTGACCTTTGGAATCCAATTTACGCATCCACAGGCAAAGGAAGAGTAGGTAAGAGATGAAGGAGAGTGACAAGGATAGATAGAGAGTGAAACGCCTGGCACTCGAAGTGTGACTGTAGTAAGGGCATATGTTTTTATAATTCTGAAGTCACTCTGTGGCTCTGCAGTATGTTGAAGTCTCAGCATAGAACTAATAACAGTCCTCCATGCCTGGCATTGAGAAATGAACTGTAATGTCAAATCTGATTTCTGCCCAGCGGGTTTATAGTCATGTATTATTAAAACTGCCACCTCTTTCTTTCAAACATAATATTATCATTGGATATGAACTCACCTCGTTTTACTTTGTTTCGCAGGATCCAAGCCCTTCATGTGCAAGATCTGCAACTTTGCAACCGCTCAGCTGGGAGACGCCAGGAACCACGTGAAGAGGCACCTCGGCATGAGAGAGTACAAATGTGACATCTGTGGGTGAGTCACAAGGTCTTATAAACATGATTGAATGTTGCAACTTAATTTAGGTTAATCATGAGATCTGAACACAGAACTGGAGGTGTAGAACTTTTCCAAGCCCTTTTAATGATTGGTGTAACTCTAGTCAAGTTTGTAAGTGTGTGACAGGCCAGAAACATCATTTATTCAGCTTGATCAGGTAAGTTCAGAACATTTAGATGATTCCAAGACCCACTGCCTGCACAATCATCATATTTATCTTTACATTTTATTGTAGTTTCCAGAACAGCTGCCATAGTTTTGTGTTGAGAGTTGGAATTGAGAAGCATTCACCTGCGACAGCCAGCGTTGGCTGCGTTCCTCTCTTAAGGTATGGGAAGGTTACATGCTGCTGTCTAAGGGAGCGATCTGCTCATTTCCTATCCTACCACCCACTTTAAATTGCATTCGTCTCAAGCTAATTCATAATTCAATCCAATTTAACCTTGAATGACCACAATAAGAGAACTGATCTTAATGCAAATTCCTTGTCAACATACTGAGATTTCATCAAATTAGAGAACTGCCTAGAAGAGCTGCTAAACCAAATCATATAATTTGTGAGTCTTTAGATAATCGTGGTGCTTTTGCACATTTAATATTCACGTTGAAATTCTAAATACATAGGCTATTATTTATTTAGGAAAATATCAAAAGCTGGCCACACTCCAAAGAGCAACCCAAACATTTCAGTTGCACTTAAATGTGTACAAAGTGTAAATGCTCCCAAGCCTTTCTTGACAATGTATCTTTCCTCCTGAATTAAAGGTAAAGACTATGCTTTACCTTCCTTAATGTATAAGCTGTTCAAATACTCAGAATTGGAAGCGTATGTCTGTAACCACGAGCCTATGAATACCCAGCAGTGCAGGAGCGCAGTTCTATCCCACTACCTCGCACCCCCTACATGTAGACCATATGTTGTGTTCAGCTCCTTTCATTCCCGCGGTAGACCTCCTCACTGCCTTGCCATGTTCAAATGGACGTGTTAAGCTGTTTAACATGCAGTCAGGGAATAGAGTAAATTGTGGGATTTCCAACTTCGTGCCATCGAGCTTCTGCGGCTACACTCTCGCTAAGATGAAGACATATGTGGCGTTATTAGTTTCTCCCTCTGTGTAATTCCATGTAAACCGTTCCATTTAGTTCAGTCGCGGGCCGATCTTGTTCTTCTGAAGCCGAGCGGAGCGCGCATGTTTATTTGCTCCCGCTGATGTTCGCAAACATATTACAGCAGGAGCAAACAAGCTTTGGTTTAAACACAGCTTCTCCTTTAATGAGAGGAAAGGCTCATGTTTCACAAGCCCCTCAAGCTGAAAACCCCCTCTTTTCTCCCAAGTGCCGCAAATTTGTTAGGGCTTTGACCAAGTGTCTAGCTTTACACACACACACACACACACACACACACACACACACACACACACACACACACACACACACACACACACACACACACACACACACACACACACACAGAACAGTTCCCCAATATGCCTTTAAATGGGACCACTAAATACAGCCCCGGGTTTCACAAATCATGTGGATGGAGGAGCCGTGCGCTGCCAGTGCCAGCCACTGGTGACAAATGGTCCCTGTGTGTGCTTTCAGTACTGACTGATCACCAGGCCATCCCTCCTCTTGACTAAAGAGCAGCAAACACAAAGAAAAACCCCCAGAAACACCCTCATTAAGGCCATTGCATACACAGCCTGCTCCCCTTCCCAAACTTCTCACGTTTGATGTCCTTAACCTGAATCCAAAGTTGCTAATAGATGGCCACATATCGGGTATTATGTTTAAAGTGAGATTATGGCGCAATTAGGTTCTCCATTCTCCTGCGGGTACTAATGACAAAACAACCTTTCAACAAAGTTTTTCCCAATATTTGTTTTATGATCACCATTACTCATTTCAATTAACACAAACCTTTTATGCTGCTTTTTTACAATATAACTCGAGTTTCATAATTTCTTTTCACATGGGCCTCCATAGGGCTTAGAGTTTTGCTTATTTAGTTTATTGCCATTTTGTTTGGAGCACATCGTTTGTGTTTTGTCTTTTTTTCCGTTAAAAATAATCTCCCTCCGCTGCCATCGATTGTTTTCCTTGTTAAAGTCTCATGCTGGAAGATTATCTCGGCTCTGACACTGTGATCGAGCGGATGTGCTGCACCTGGCTGTCCACCTCACTTTAGCCTCTGCACACTGCCGACGATCTCGTATCAGGAGCTTGGGGGGGAGAACTTGTTGATAGTTAAAGATCATATTGTTGTGGCATTTAATTAAGAAATGCAAATGCGAGGCCAGGACAGATTGGAACTCTTTGACCACGCTGCCAATCACACCTGAGCGAGCCGGTCAGTGGCTCGCTCATTATCGCTAACACTTTATAGGCTTTCTGTCTCGGCCTCTACACATCCGTGTCTGCGCTTCTACACATCTGTTTGCCCGTATGTGTCTTTATCCGGGCCTCTTAATTTGCCTATAAAGAACTCTTAAGGTGCAAAAACAGCAGAAAAACAAAAATTGGCCGTTAGCTCACCAGATAAGATTTCTCTTATTTAATTGGTTAAAAGAAGTTCTCCAGCATGTGAGACGGCAGAGACTTGCATTTCCTCACGCCGTGTTTTGTCCACAGTGGGGCTCGGCCACTTAATGAGCCTCCTCCGCCTCTCCTCCATCATCTAAAGGAAAGGCCCTGGATTCAGCATTTCCACCCCACCGCTCTCTCGTCCTCCCCAAAGATGCAATAGACGTCCAGTGCTGTTGTAGGTGTTAAATTATGCATAAGCAGTCTAAATGCTTTGAGGCATTGGTTTAATATCTCAGCCCGGGCCTTAGAAGTATTAACACTACCACAGACATGGATTGTCCTCTTGTGGAATGCCCTTTTATGATTACGGGTCATAAACTGCTGCCCGTTTCCCAGTGTCACTTCAGGAATCTGAGAAAAACTTAACAAACCTTTTGTTTTCTCATAACACTGAAAAAAAAGTTTGCTAAAGTTTGTCGTCTCCGTGGAGGAGGCTGCATTGTGTTCTTCCCCCCCCCATCCCTCCCTCCCTCTCGGTCTCAGTTTTCTTGACTTAGTGTTGGAGGCAGTATATATAGTCATGATTTCATGTTGTGTGTGTGATTTGACTGTTAACAGGATGGGGCTGGTTCATGTCAGGGTTTTTATGTCCCCCCCTGTCTTGTGAGATTGTCTGGTCTGTTCCCGGAATAGCCCATCAGTTCCGCCCTGCGTGGCTCATCCGCTGTAATGTGCCTTAATGCCCGGGCCTGTATGAGTAGTGTGAGGCCTGGCAGTGACAGTGGAGGAGCATCTTAGCTCGCTGCTTATCCAGAGAAAGCCTTCACTTAACTCAGCCCCTCTATTGTCTATCCACACCCCTCTCCTTCTTCCCTGACGTGATTCTCTATAATCCTCAAGCAGATTCTGGTTAGAACTCCCTGAGAACTATTTTTATATTTCTTTTTTTCCCCTCCCTTCCTCCCATTTAAACATTAATGGTTGTTGCAGATGAAGAGAAGGATCCCTATGAGGATGATTATAATGTCACTCCACTGATCTCCCGCCGCCCCGAAATAATTGTACATCATCGCTTCATAACGTGTCAGAGGGACACGTTGGTGGCGGGCAATTAAAACCGCAGAATATAATACACCAAATTACTGCCTGTCAGGCCTATGAACAACACACTCGGTATTTGAGTTACACTTAATCATCACGTACATTAGCGATTTCGCTAAGATCCCTCCACACCGCCCCCTCCGTCCATACAGCAAAGGGCGTGAAGCACACTGCTCCTTACAGGCTGAGGGATTGTGTCTACGATACAACAGCTCTAGGGTAGCTTCATATTAATGTTAGACTTAGACCTTTTAAAAGCTCATCATTTCCTAAATGATTTAGCTGTGTGTGACCAAGTGCAAGCACCATGTCTTGTCAGGAACTGGAAGCTGGAATTATAAATTCATTAACACGCAACAGATTTAAACACAGAATGTTTTCCTCACGATTCAGAAAGCCTTGTGTGTTTGCATATTTTACTAATACGTATCAACATGCAGAATGTCTGTATATATGAAGTTACAGGCATATTAAGTGAGAACATCTGGTATAACCACCTCAAGTAAAACTACTAGAATCTTAACCCTTACCCTCATAATGTTTTCGTCCAGCCATTGGCAATTTAACCTTGCAAACCACATACTTATCTATTGTATGTATTCCATCTACATTATTATGCATGGACCTTTTTAGTGTTTGTGCTCCATCTAATTCATTTGTTCTCTTCAGACACAGGATCCTGTATTCAGTCCCATCAGGAAGACATATTCCTGTTTACCTTTTTAAGAGACACTTTAAGACACACTTGTTGTGTCCGGAACACGGTCCTTGTCAGTCAGTGAAGTCCCCTTCACCAAAATAAACACATTTCGCACTGATGCATTTAACAAAATTTAGTGGGCCATTATCGGAAATGAAATAAGTAACGCTAAAGGTCATTTGGAAAATAATGCAGAAAGGCTGGTCTGGAAAGGTTAAGTATGTGACGGAGCTGTTCTGATGATAACGAGGGCTGCGTACGGCTTGGAGAGCTCGGCGTTCTGGTTTGACTCGGCACTCTGCGATCGCTCTTTATGACCGCGACAGCTTTACAGCCCGTTACCCCCCATAACACGATAAAGCGCAGCATAATGGATTGGATGTGTTTAGTAGCCTTGGGCTGATGTTTGTAAAATTAATGTTTTTTGCAATAGAAACACACTCATGCACGGGCACACATGCACACACTGGGGAAAAAAAGCAAGAGAGGGGAAATGGAGAGGAGAGAGAGAAATCAACTCCGGACAGCATCAATGTATCAATATAAATCTGCCAGAGTACAGTTTTATACATTTATACTTGTTTTGGAGCTGACTGGATTGTCAGACTTTAGTGTCTTGTCCTCGCAGATATCTCTCAGTTGAAGAGAGGACAACAAACATATGGCTTCATTAGTTTGGTATGGATTACAAGCCCAATATTCAGCAGAAAGGCGATGAATGCTATTAGATTTGTGTTTCAAATTACACAGTGCAAGTACTTGAGGGAGATGAAGTCGGTTTTCTCAGTAAGTCTCATATTGGATGCTTTGAAGGAGTTTGAAAAGGACCCCACGCAGCATCTCTGAGCGCAAAAGACAAAGAGAGAAATCTCAGCAGATCAGTCCTATTAGGTTTTAATAATAATCTCATATTCTTTATTGGACCCAGAACAGGGGCCTTGGGGCTTCATAATCAAAGCTTTTCACAAACAAATACAAACATTGGGGTCCACACTAAACGGGAGGATCAGTAGTTAAGCTTGGGAGCCAACACAGCACAAAGGCTTATGATTCTTAGTTATACTACTCTTGAGGACCACTACTTAAAAGACTATTGTTTGCACTTTGTATGATCTCAGTAGTTTCCTTTCTAAAAACATTACACTTCTTGTGGCCTCAGCCTTTTCTTCAGCTTTTTTATCACTTTTTGTTATTGTTAAATCTCATCACTTGCACGACTAGCAGGACACAAATGAAGTAATTAGAAAAGTAGTAGTCTTTTTTTTGTTGCCTTACCCTCTCTTGATAGCATTTATACACGTTGCATGTACAGTACCTTCTCAGCTAACAAAGGAGAATCAGCTCCATGCTGTCGAGAAACATGAGTCAAGTTTATGCACTCCCCCTCTAACCACAAAAGAAGTACAAACTTTATTCTTTAAAGTAGTTGAATTATTTAAAAAAATGTTGCTGAACAATCCATTCTATAGAGTTAATCATGTCAAAGGTATATTGTAGGAGAAAAAAAAACATGGAGGGGGAAGTTAATGAGTGATTAACAGCAGCAATTAAAAGATGAAGACGACGGCAGATGAAAAAAGCGGTGTAATTAAAATATCAGTCCTCCCATTGTCAGAAGTGCGAGTGTCATCCATTGTGCACTTATTAAAAAGCCTGGTGGAGGGGAAGGAGCAAACGGCGCTTAATTCCAGCCGCCCAAAGTGTCTGGTAATCTGTCCGTGGATGGAGCTGGAGAAGGCCGTAACTCATGTTTAAGTGTTGGGGCCGTGTCATTGCAGGTTCACAGTCATGCATTTCCGTGTTGACACCCATCGTGGGCAGGGGATATTTGGCAGTCAGGAGTAATTTAACTTAATTAATGGGATGCATATTTGATGGAGGAATAAAATATACTGGCTCAGCAAAGTGGAAAAGGGGAAAGATTTAGTAGGAGTTAAAGGTGGAGGGGAGAGTAATTTGTGCATTCAGTTACCGGCTGCTTGAGAGACAGAAAGAGGGAGAAGGAGGAAGAGTGGGCTGATAAAGATGGCAACCGGCAGGGAGGAGGAAGGGAAGGGGAGGATGAGAGATGGATGGTTGACACAAAGCTGAGCTGATGTGTAGAGGGGAATGGGCTGTCCCTCTATTGAGAGGGCCATCACACTGACAACGCTTGATTTAATTGATATCCGGACTGAGCACTTCCTCAGCGCAAACACACACATTACGCCGGTCTGCAAACTTGTGGCAGAGCCGCCGGCTGCCAAGGGCCTTTTTAATATTCATGAGGGGGCTTTTAAGGGTGTTCGGCAACAGTCTCCTCCCTTACCCAACATGTCTTTACTACCAATACACACACTTTACCTTCACAGCAGACACGCAACACGCTCCCTGACAAACCCGTGGCCTGACGAAAAGCTGTCACGCTGCTCTTAATCTCCCCTGGCACTTTTTAATTGACTTCCTGTAGGTATACATTATTTTCACGGCGAGTCTGCCACCGAGATGTTTGATACCGTCCCGGAGACTGGCATCTGGGAGGCTTGTAGCTCACCAGAGATGACGCCGTTATCTCTGTCTCTGTCTCACTCTCGCCCTCTCTCTGTGTGATAGCCAGATATATTGGGGGAACGTGGGAGAGCTAAAATGCAATCAGTCATTGCCATCATCATAATTGAGCTGATGTACCTGCTGGGAATGCTGGGGAGATGTTGGCTTGGGAAGAAGGGAGGCTCTTTGTGTCTGCCTTAAACTGTTAGTAGCATTAGTCCCATATACGGGGCCGATATAGGCCCCTCTGTTAAAAGTTGGATGACGGCCAACTTGCGGTGTCAAATTGATTCGATGTTGTTTGTTTGATTACATATCATATTAATGTTCACATGAATCAACGCTATGCTGCTTGTTGGAGGTAAGCTCTTAAGTCTAATGAAACAATTTGAATCAGATTCCAAACAATTATGCATGGATTATGTTTACGATCAGTAGTGAAGTCATATCAAGTTAATTTGTATAGCCCAGTATTACATATGGATCCCCGAAGAGCTTTACAAGCCCACAACACCAGCATAGAGAATATCAGCTGGTTGTGGAACATGATCTGAGGCAAAACAAGAAGGCACAAGTAGTTGTTTATTGATTGATCTATATAGGAGCTAGAAATTGAAACTGTGAGTTTATAATATCTCCCAGTGCTGCGTCCATGGCCTTTTTTCCTCTATATCTGGTATAAAAATGGCAGAGAAACACTAATCTTTTGTACGTTTCTGAATATTCTGGCCTTGAAATGGTGACATTTCAAGTTATGAAAAGCTGGCAAAAACTGTCTGCTGTCAGTGACTTGAGTCCAAAAAAAACATTGTTAGTGATGCAAGCCTCCATATCCATCGGAACGCCAAATCCCACTCTCACTTTGTGTATCACATGTGGTCTGGTCCACACATGCTGATACCAGGCACACAAGCGGACAGGGCCTCCTCCTACACACTACCATCTATTTACACACTGGAACACATACAAACTAGACTTTTCTATAATGATAAAAGATACATACTACATTGTATGCAGGGTTAAGTATCTCTAACTTAGTGTTGGTTCCCAAATATTTGCTCCGGGGGCTAATTTTATTATTGTATCAACCAACGGAGATCATTTTGAGAAAACAGTATGTCACTGTCACTATTTTTATTTCACTATTTTACATTTTCTTTTTATTTCTTAAGGTTATTGTATGTTGCACAGTTGGAGGAGCCCGGGGCTCAGCATTTTCATTGCCAACAACTACCCTGTAGCTATTGTGCGTATGAAAACAAAGCCTTTGAAACTTGAATTTTGAATCAAAAGATAAACTCTCAGATCGAGTTTGTTGTTTGTTTCGGTATTAAACGATCAATTTTCTTTACACATTCTACTTCATAAAATGTCTAAACTGCTGTTTTCTAATAATCTTCCACATAATGTCTGCCACTTGCTTCTATAGGCTTGTTACGTTTCTTGTCTCACTCTCTTTAGACCATCATTTTGTGGCATCCTTCAGGCTTAATACCACAAGATCCAGATGATTCTCAGATCTATGAAGTGATATTGACCATTGTCTATGCGAAACAGATAATAAGGCGTGATGAATGGCTGACATTAGTGATGAAATTACATCAACCTTAACAGGCCATTGTATTAACACACCTAGCCTATCCCACTCCTCCCGACTGCCCGTTTAATTGATTAATTGCCGACGTGGATGGATGAGGGGTTGCAGGTCCGGAATCGGTGGCTGATTGCTAGTCAACCATAAACACGAGCAGCCACAGCGGGCCCTCAAGGGCAATATTCATGCTCCCCAACCTTATGGTGATTCCTTATCCAGCTCTGACAAGAGGAAAAATATTCGGCCATAAAATCGCTGGTATCACCGGGCTGACATATAAAACCCTCCGTCACTCCCTCCCTCTCTCTCCTCGCCTGTGTTGTGTCTCCTTTAGCTCTCAGATGCTCAGCACACCCGTCGGACTCAGAAATCACCCATCCTCCTCTGCATGTGTAGCTACAGTCCCTCAGGTAGCCCCAGCTTTAAATATGAGCAAATAATGGCGGAGTGAGTGATGCTGCCTGTGTCCTTGACTGGGTTCCTCTGTGTGCCATAGCCTCATCTCACTGTCTCCGAGCCCCGCGGGACGCATAAAACACCCTCGTAGAAAAACTCCAGAGGCGTGTTGGTGGCATCCGTTTGGATGGATGCGGGGATGCAGAAAAAGCCAATGAGGTCTTTGTGTATGTTTATGCAAGTGCGGAGGGGGGAGGGTAGATAATCTTTACACTGCTGTGTGTTTAATGAGCAGGGCAATGTGTCCACTTTAATGTGTTTGCATTTCTGATGCGGTGCGACAAAGTTATTAAAACGTTATACGGCGTATCACATCTCTTTTATGTCTTACTGTTTGTTTGCCTGCATCTTCTGTGGCCTCGGTAGCTGATGTCAGGCTTAGTTGTGGAAGAGGTTAGAATCATGCTTTGTGGGTGTCACTAAAATGTCTTCATAGGAACAGTTGTCACCAAATTGTGCCAAAGCTCCTGACAGGGGCACGTTGGGGTCTTTTTTAAGTGTTAGGAAAGGGCAAATGGTAGAAGGAGTTACTTGGTTTCCAGTCCGGGATCCACAAGTGTCAGGCCTGCAGGAAAGAGGACTGGACATGTGGCAAAAGACGAATAAGACCCCATTGTCAGCCACACCGTCTTTGCTCTCCCCAACACTTCGCCACATTAACCCCCACGCCCCTGAGGCTCTCCAGACTGAGGCGTAGGTCTGAACCCCTGCATCCGTCCGTGAAAACGCTGACACATCGATTACCCCGCAGGGGAAAAATAAAAGACCGTGATGGGGAGGAGTGTGCTGCGTGAAGAGGAAGCATTTATTCATTTATTCTGTTTATTCAGCAAAACAAACAGAGGTCAGGATTATGCTGCAATACTGATAGCTCTGTGTCTATTATGTTTACATTTCAAATTAGGGGGTTCACTCTGCACACTTTTATGGTCACTTCAAAGCCTGCCTGCTGCCTCCCAGGCCCCCCAGCTAAATCTGATTACTTAGACTTTTAAAATCCACATAAGCTTCAAGAAGAGCCAAAACTATGGCTTCTCGGCAGAATCTTATAAAGAGTTTTGGACTGAAAAGAGTTTTGGACTGAACTTCAACCTATATTTATGTCAATGGTTAACAACTTCTCTCACAACAGAACACTTCCTCAATCAATGAATCTTGCATATATTACTGTACTACATAAAGATGGGAAAGACCCCTTGAATTGTTCTTCATTTAGGCCTATAAGCCTCTTGGATCATGATTATAAGATTATCACCAAATTATTAGCAAAACGACTGGAAATTATTTTACCTAAACTAATTAGTCCTGATCAAACAGGTTTTGTCAAGGGCAGATATTCTTCTGATAATATAAGGAGACTTTTGAAGAATTAATAAACCCATTTTGGACATCTGTCAGATCGAAGCATCTCTGCTTCTTGTTCTTTTAAGATGCCGAGAAGCTTTGACAGGGTTGAGTGGAATTTTCTTTTGCTATCTTGAAGATAAATATGGGCTCTCGATTCTAGAGTTGGTGGTCAAATCAAATTTATAAAAATCCTAAAGCAAGCGGTTTACACTACTGCAGTTCCTCAGATATTTCACTAACAAGGGGGACAAGACAGGATGTCCACGTGCACCTTTTGCTTTTTGCAATGTAATTGAACCACTGGCGCATGTGTGCGAGACAACATAAGTATTAAAGGATGAAATTAACGATGACACAACATTCTCTGTAATGCTGACGATAATCATTCCTTAAACAGACCCAGAAAAATTCAGTACCATCGGCTCGACACGATATGAGCAATTTTGGAAGATACTCAGGGTATAAATTAATTTAAGAAATCGAATGCTGTTTCGTACATTATGACGCCACAGCAATCCTGGAAAGTCTTGTTCTTTTTATTTGTCACCGCAGGTGGCTTAATAATTAGGAATCAAATATAACACCACACCTGGATAATCTGTTTAAAGGAGATACAATCCGCTTCATTGACAAATCAAACAGGATGTATCTAAAGGTCCACATTACAGTATATCACGCTAGTAAGAGATCAATTCATAAAAGAATATTCTACCGACGATGTATTTCTTTTTCAAAGAACCATGAGTCTATTATCCGCTGATTATTTTAAATCTCTCCAATAGACAGCATCCTCAAAAATGTATCGGTGAATAAAAAACCAAGAATCAAGTTAATACTCTTATGAAATGCAGAAACAATGGGGGTCCTGGTTTGCCCCAAAATTCAACATACTTCGGTCACCAATTAAGAAATGAACTATCTTGGTTTCGGAAGAAAGATTCACTATGGTTCAGAATAGAAGCCAAATGGATTGAGACCGCGTTGCCAGTGGAAAATCCTTATATTTGTTAAAGACTTCAATAAGGTGAAAAATAGGCAAATGTTTTACAGTGTCAATACAGCTTTAG